TACAAAGTTAAAACAATTTCTGCCCTCGAGAAGCTTATGTTCTACTGGGGGGGAAACAACATATATATAGATAAGAAAATTAAAAAAAAAATACAATTTTGGGAGGGGGAAGCGAACTCTTTTTGGGGAAGGATTAAAAAAAAGCGTCATGCAGGAAGAGATCGTTTTTGAAGTGAATTTTGAAATGACCTTAAGGATTCCACAAAGTAGAGTTGAAAATGGAGAACTTTCCAGGTATCAGGGTCAGCTTCTGCAAAAGCATGGAGGTGGGAAATGGAATGCTTCAGCGTAACATTATAAGCAGCATATAGGTCAGTTTGGCTGGAACACAAGAGCGTGTAAAGGGGAACAATGTGACATCAGCCTAAAAAGATAAGTTGAAGCTAGACTATGATAGGCTTAACGTCAAAGATCAGTTTGTGCTTTAACCTCTAGGCATTAAGACACTACTAAAGCTTTTTGAGCAGAAGAGCGACACTGTCAGATCTATGCTTTAGGGAATTCATTTGGCAGCTCTGTAGCAAATGGTTAGAGAAGTTAGAGGATGGAGGCAGAGAGACCAATCAGGAGAGTATTTAATAATCCACGTGAGAAGTGATTCCACCCTGAACCAAAACAACTGTTTTGAGTACACAAAAAACAACAGATATGAGAGTACAATAATTACCTGCTGAAGTGAATCAATTGTAAAATTTAGAAAGGGGTCAGGTGGAGAAGCAAAGGTACAATGAATTGGGAGAACGACCAAACGTAAACAGAAAATGACAAGAAGCAATCCCATGGCCAAAACACTGTGCACATCCATGCATAAACTGAGGCAGATCACTTCTCTGTTCAAAACCCTTCAATGTGTCCCTACTGCTTTTGGACAAGGTCCAAACTCCATAGCCTTACATTCAAAGCCCTCCACAATCTGGCACCAAGGTACCCTTCACTCACACTACTTCTCCGCCAACAGTCTTCTCTCCAGTCAAACTACTCACAAACACTTGAACCTGCAACAATGAAGACTTCAAACCTTTGTTCATCCAGTTTCCCATACCTATGATGCCCTTCTCTGACTGATAAAATTTCTACCCCTTTTCTAAAGTACAATTCAATTATCACTTCATCCATGAATCCTCATCCAGCCCAGATCAAATCACGTCAACAAATATTTGCCAGGCACTGTGTCAAAAGCTGGAGATACAAAGAAAAGCAAAAACAGTCCCCTGCCCTCAAAGTGCTCGAAAACTAGTGGGGAAGACAAGCAAACAACTGTACAAACAACATGTATATAAGATAAACTGGAGATAATCATTGAGTGATGGCACCAGCAGTAATGGGGACCAGGAAAGGCTTCTTTGCGTAATGTGGGAATTTTACTGAGACTTGAAGGAAGACAGGAGGCAGAGATGAGGAGGGAACGAGTTCCAGGCATGTGGAACAGCCAGTGAAATCCCTTGAGTCCAGAGTTAGAGTGTTTTGTCCAAGGAGCAACAAGAAAGTCAGAGTCAATGGATCAGAGTACACAGAATAACGTGCAACAAGACTGGAAACACAGGAAGGGACCAGGTTATAAAAGGCTTTAAAAGCCAAACAGGATTTTACATTTGATCTTGGAGACAACAGGGAGCCACTAGAATTTATTCAGTAGCGGGAATGACATTTTCAGTTGTGGCTGTGGTTTGTCCTTCATTCTCAAAGAGGACCACGACATCTGAGAGATGATGGCATGACTTGCAATTGACTTTGATGTGAGTGAGGGAGGGCTGTGCAAAGTCACCAGCCTCACTTTCTACTCCAGAGTCATCTGGGTCCAGTGGCCAGATATCGATCAGGATGACTGGAGAAGGCCCAGCACCATGTTCAGTACTGTGCTTTACCAAGATCACTTTGTTGGGGCAGATAAGTGGCGCAGTGGATAGAGCACCAGCCCTGGAGTCAAGAGGCCCTGAGCTCAAATGTGGCCTCAGACACATAATACTTTCTAACTTCCTAGCTGTGTAACTCTGGGCAAGTCACTTAACCCCAACTGCCTCAAAAAAAAAAAAAAAGAAAGAAAAAGATCACTTTGTTAGCTGAGTGAAGAATGGACTGGAGTAGGGAGAGCATTGAGGCAGGAAGATCACCCTGAAGGGTAATGCAATAATCTAGGCATGAGGTGATGAGGGCTTGTATCAGGGTGGTGGCAGTGTCAGAGTGGAGAATGAGGCATATACAAGAAATTTTGAGAAGGTAGAATGGACACACCTGGCAATAGCTTGAATGGGGGTGGGGGTGGTGAGTGAGGAACTGAGGATGACCCCTAGATTTCAAGCCTAGGTGAACAGGGGAATGGTGGTGTTCACAAATAGGGAAGTTAGGAATAGGAGAAGGTTTGAGGTGAAAGAAAATTAATTCAATTTTGGACAAATTGAGTTTAAGATATTTGTGGCACATCTGGTTGGAGATTTCTCATAGCTAATCAGAGATGCAAGATTAGAGGTCAGGAGAGAGGTTTGGGCTGAATAAATAGACTTGGGAATCCAGGGGAGCTAATGAGATTACCAAATGAAACAGTATAGAAGGAGTAGAAGGCCCAGAACAGAGCTTTGGGGGCTCCACAGTTAGTGGGTACAATCTAGACCAAGATCCAGCAAAGGAAAGTGAGGAGTATTTAGAAGGGTAGGTGGAGAACCAGACATGTGAGCAGTGTCATGAAAACCTAAAGAAAAAAGAGGGTGATTGACAGTGTTAAAGGCAGCAGAGAGGTCAAGAAGATGAGGATTGTAAAAGGCCATGAGATTTGGCAATTAAGAGATCACTGGTAACTTTGGAAAGAGCAGTTTCAGTTGAATGATGAGGTCAGAAACCAGACTGTAGAAGAGAGTGAGAAAAAAGGAAATAGATAACTGATTGTGACTAAGAAAAGAGATATGAGAGAATAGCTAGTAGGGATGGACAACAGATCAGGTGAGAATTTTTGGAGGATGAGGGAAACATGGGAGTGTCTGTAGGCAGCAAGGAAGCAAAGGTAGATAAGGAGAGATTGAAGATTAGTAGGAGAGTGGGGGTAATCTCCCCAGGCTAATAATGATAACAATAACTAACTCAAAATTATATAGTACTTGAAGAATTACAAAGTGTTTTCCTCAGTATAGCCCAGTGTGGCAAGTAGTGATAGAATGATAGGGCTGGGAAGGAATTTAAGGATTAACTAGTCCAACCTCTTCATTTTGTGGATAGGAAAATTGAGACGCTGAAAGATAAAGAAACTCCCTTAACTTTGCTAAGCCAAGAATCAAATCCACAGGTCTTCTAATTATAGTACCCTTTTCACCATACTATGATTCATTCAGACTTTACATTGAACACTGCACCCCTCATGCACTTATCCACGCATTACTCTCATCTATATTTTCTCTTATCTCCTCTACAAGACTGAGCCCTAAAAGGAAAGACTACATCTTATTTAAACTTTGTATCCTCCCCAAGTGTCCAAAACAGCATTCAACATATAGAGTTCATGCTTTAAGAAGTTGTCCAAAGACCCTTCAGTGCCGCCCTTTTTCAAGCCTCAGGTTTTTCTACTAGAGCACTTGGTGATCTTATCAGCTCCCATGGATTTAATTAACTTCTCTATGTTGATGATTCTCAAATCTACCTATCCTGCTCTAATCTCTCTGCTGACCTCCTATCTCCCATCTCCAACAGCCCTTCAGACATCTCAAACCAGATGTTCAATAGAAATCTTAAACTCAACATGTCCAAAATGGAACTCGTTTTCTTCTCCCCTAAACTTTCCAGCTGTAACTTCCCTATTACTATCCAGGGCATCATCATCGTCTCAGTCCTTCAAGTTAGCAAGTGAGTGGTCACTCTGGATTCCTGACTCTCTCTCCCCCCCCCCCCCATATCGAATCTATTACCAAGGTTTGCGGATATCACCTTTGCAACATCTCTGGCAAGTACATGTTCTCTCCTTTGACACTTCCAGGGTTCTTATGCAAGCCCTCATCACCTCACACTTGGACTATTGCAATAGCCTGCTGGTGGGTCTGTTTGCCAAATCTCTCCACTTCAAATCATCCCTCCTTTCAGCCACTAAAGTGATTTTCCTAAAGTGCAGGTCGGACCATGCCACATACTCCCATACACACTTTCACACTCCCCTCACCTTCCCCCACCCCCTCCGGTGACACTGGATTCTTGGCTGTTGCGAGAACAAGAGACTCCATCTCTTGGCTTTGACCACTTTCTCTGGCTATCCCCTATGCCTGAAAAGCTCTCCTTCCTCATCCTCAACCTCCTACCTTCCTTTAAGTCCCAATTAAAATCCCATCTTCTCCAGGATGCCTTTCCCTACTCTTCTTTGCTTGTTGTCTTCTCCTTAGATAGTAAGCTCCTTGCAGGTAAGGGCTGTCTTTTGCCTCTTTTTATATCCCCAGGGCTTAGCACAGTGCCTGACACATAGTAGGTACTTACTAAAAGTTTACTGACTATCCAGTTTCACTACGGGGTCAGAATAGGGTGTGAATTCTCCCTCCGGGGTCACTTTCCCAAAACTCTCTGAAATGACCAGCCTCACACATGTCCTATCCACCTTTACCATTCCAAATGTTGAGGGGGCTCTCAGCCAGGGCAGACAAGTAGCCTTCCCTCGCCACCTCTCGGGGCTGGGCCTGGGCCCCCAAAATAACCCCGCCTCAAGCTGACAGACCCGACGTGCAGGAGGGTTGGGCTGCCCCCTGCTCCCCGACCTGAGGGGGTCCCGGAGCGGCGCTCACTGACCGAGTGACCGGCCGACCCTCGGAGCGGCCCCGGCCCCTGCCGCGACGGACCGGCCCGCCCCTCCCCGGCCAGGCAAGCAGGCAGTCACGCGCCTGTGCTGACACCCCGAGCCGCCCGTCCCGGGCCTCGTCGTGGCCGCTGCCCCAGCCCCAGTGCCGGGTGGCTGACTGACTGACTGACACACGGACAGACAGACTGCCCCGGGCCCGCAGCCCAGGCCCCGCCCCTTCAGGCCTGCCCGGCTCTACCTGCGCGCCCCGGGCCAGGCCCTGGCCCGTCACCTGGCCCTGCCGGAGTTGATCCAAGATGTTCCCGGAGCACAGCCGGCCTCCCCAGCCCCAGGCCGCCGCCCGCCGCTCTCGGCCGGCCCCGGGAACAGCCGCCGCCGCCATGGCTCCTCCTAGGACAAACAGGAAGCGGCCTCTGGGGCTAGTGGCGATTTGTACGGAGCGGCGAAGGGGCCGCCGCAGCGACCCCAGCTGGCCCAGGGCCGAAGCGCAAGCTGCGTATCCGCAGCGGAGGATTCTGGGAAATGTAGTTCGGCTGTCTCGGGGCGGTGGAAGGGCCACTGGAGCTCAGTGGTCCGGGGTATTGAGCGAAGTGAGAGATTGGAGGCGGTGTTGGTGGGGACTCGCGCTTCAGAGTCAGTCATAGTCAGACAGCGCCCCCCACACACACACACTCACACACTCACTTACACATGGTACATTGGAAAGACTATTTCACTTTGCACTTTGAAACTCTGCCCCGCCTTTTACCCAGCAATACTGCTATAAGTTTAATGTACCAAAGGGATCAAAGGTCTCAAAATCAAAGATCAAAGGAAAAGGATACATGTGTACAATATTGTTTAGAGCAGCTCTTTTCATGATGGCAAAAAAGGGTGTCCATCAATTGGAGAATGGCTGAACAAGTTATGTTACATGAATGTAATGGAATACTAATGTTGAAGAAATGATGAAGGGCATCCAGAAAAGAACCACAGAGTCTGAATGCAGATGGAAGCATACCATTTGCTCTCCTTTTCTTTTGTTGTTTTATTTCTTCTTTCTCATGGTTCCTCCCATTAGTTCTAATTGTTCTTTACATCACAACTAATGTGAAAATATACTTAATATGAATGTATAAGTAGAACCTATGTCAGATTGCACACCATCTTGAGGACAGAGGAAGAGAAGGAAGGGGAGAAAATTTAAAACTCAAAGCCTTATAGAAGTGAATGTTGAAAACTAAAAATAAATAAATTATTTAAAAAGAAAAAAAAGAAATGATGAAGGGGATGGTTTTAAAGAAACCTGGGAAGACTTGTATGAACTGATGCAGAAGAAAATGAGCAGAACCAGAACAATTTTATACAATAACAACCATATTACAAAGATGAACAACTTTGAAAGAATTAAGAACTGAACAATACAATGAACAACCACAGTTCCAGAGGACTCATTATGAAACATGCTACCCCACTTCCAGATAGAGAACTGACAGACTCAGAATGCAGATTGGGACTTTATTTTTTTTTACATAGCCAATGTGGGAATTGGTTTTGCCTGACTATACAGTTTGTAACTGGTTTTGTTTTTCTTGCTTTCTCAATATGGGAAGTAGGGAGAGGCAAAGAATGCCTGAAGAAAAAAAAATGTGCAAATAGAATAATTTTTTTTAAAGTATTTGGCTTTAGCATTAGGAGACTATTCAAATCCCTATCTCCAAAACTCACTACTTGGCCAACCCTGAGAAAGTCACTTAACCTCTCTTGGTCTCAGTTTCCTCATCTGTAAAATGAGGGGAATTAGATTAGTTTCCTACAAGGGTCCCTTTTGGCTTTAAAATTTGTAATCCTGTGATGCTGTAAACTCAAAATACCATATAGTCACAGCCTCTCAGAGCCAGAAGGGCCACCAAAGGTCATCTTGAACCTGAATAGGAATCTCTTCTACAAATCCACTAATAAGTAGTCATCTAGCTTCTGCTTGAAGATCTCCAGTGATGGGGAACCCACTGACTCCTTAAGGCAGCCTACTGCACTTACAGATAGCTCTAGTTTTTCCATCTATCAGGCAGCTAGATGACAAAGTGAGGCAGATCTGGAATGAGGCAATCAATCAATTTATCAATCAGTAAACATTTATTAAGTGCCTACTATGAGCCGGGCACTGTGCTAAGCACTGGGGATGCAAAAAAAGGCAAAAAAGTCCCTGCCCCTAAGAAACTTACAGTTTAATGGAGGAGACAGCATGCAAACAAATACATACAAAGTAAGCTATGTATAGGATAAATAGGAAATAACAGAGAGAAGACACTAGAATTAAGGGGGGTTGGGGAAGCCTTCCTGTAGAAGGTGGGATATAAAGGAAGTCAGGGAGGTCAGTAGTTGGAAAGGAGGAAGGAGAGCCTTCCAGGCATGGGGGACAACCAGAGAAAACGTACAAGGGTTGTCAAAAGATAGAGTATCTTGTTCGTGGAACAGCCAGGAGGCGGGTGTCACTGGATTAAAGAGTCCATGGCAGGAAATAAGGTGTAAGAAGACTGGAAAGGTAGGAGGGTGCTAGGTTATGAAGGGCTTTGAATGACAAATGGAGGGGTTGTTGTTTTTTAATCCTAGAGGCAATAGGAAGTTGCTGGAGTATGTTAAGTAGGGGGGGTGACATGATTTGACCTCTGATTTAGGAAAATCACTTTCGTGACTGAACGGATGATGGGTTGGAGTAGGGAGAGACTTGAGGCCGGTTGACGCACAGCAGGATATTACAATAGTCCAGGTGTGAAGTGCACCAGCTGGCTTTGCAACCAGAGATGTTACAAAGGTGAAATTGACAGGCCTTGACAATAAATGATTGCATATGGGAGGGAGGGTGAGAGATAGTGAAGAGTCCAGGATGACTTCTAGGTTACAAAACTGAGGGACTGGGAAGATGGGTGGGGGTTTTAGGAGGAAAGATAATGAGTTACATTTTGGACATAGAGTTCAAGATGTCTACTGGACATCCAGTTTCAGATGTCTGAAAGGCAGTTTGAGATTCGAGACTGGAGATTAGCAGAGAGCTTGGAGCAGAATAGATAAATTTGGGATGTGAAGCGTATCACCAGGTCTAAGAACGCTCATCATGGAGTAGAGGGAGCCACTCTTATGCCATTAAAGGACAAGTACAGCAGAAGATGGGAGGCTTTACACAGTTGGGAGATTGGGCTGGTAGTGGAAAGTAGAATCTGCCTTATGGTAGCAGAGATAGAAGTGGTTGCTTTGGGGCAGATGGAAGACGTTAACCTCAGATACTTATTAGTTGGGTGACCCTGAGCAAGTCACTTAACCTCTGTCTGCCTCGGTTACCTCATCAGTCATGACACCTAACTCTCAGGGTTGTTGTGAGAATCAAATGAGGTAATATTTGTAAAGCACTTAGCATAGTGCCTGGCACATAGTAGGCACTTAATAAATGCTTTCTCTCCCTCCTCATAATCTTCCTCTCTGCAACTACCATCCATTGCTTCTAGCTCTGGAGCTAAACAGGACAAATCTAAGCCTTCTTCCACTTGACAGGTCTTCACATATTTGAAAACCCCTAACATGTCCCTCCTTTTAAACTTCTCTTCTCCTGGTTAAACATCTTCAGTTACTCCAACTGATCTGTATCTCTTTATCTATCAACTGGATATATCATCTATATCTTTCTTTATATATAATATATGTAGATCAGTAGCTATCTATTTCTCTATATAACAATTAGAGATATATACCCAATTTGTCACATATCTCTTTAATCTAGCCTATATATTTTCAGTTTGTCATATATATCTATACACATTTATACATGTACATATATATGTGTATATATTTGTGTACATATGCATATTAAATGTTTTATATTATATATATATATAAAAGTTGAAGATAATCTCAGAGGAAAGTTACCAAGATTAAGGAGTTCAGTGCCATAAGAGGATCAGTTGAAGTAACTGGGGTTGCTTAGCCAGGAGAAGAGAAATTTAATATACACTTATGTAGATTTATATGTATGTATGACTAGATATACCCACATACACATACATATATATGTATATACACACATATATACAGACTTTATATATAATGTATATTATATATCATTTGTATAGTTGTTTGCATGTTGTCTTGTATCCCCTGCCACATAGGAGACACTTGATAAATGCTTGTTGACTCGACTTAATTTCTGACCAGTCAGCTCACAGGCACCACCACCATTTATACTTTTGATTCTGGCCACAAAGAATAGCAACATCAGACCTGGATGTTCTCCAGACCAAGGTCCTACCTCAGCCTCTTCCCTGGGAATCTGTGCTTCCTCCTGGCAGTTAGTGACTCGAGGTACAGGCCTTCTACCTGCCCCTACACACCCCTCCCTGCTCAGATGGGCAGATAGCTGAAAAAAGCATTAGACAACTAGAACCTAGGCTCACCCTAATGACCCAGCAAGCAGGGGCCTGGTTTCAGTATCTCAATAACAAAAAACAACTGCCCATAGTTTTCATTCTGATGCCTGAATTCACAAAACTGACCTCCAATGCCAGGCCTGAAAAGTAAAAGCTGACATTTCCTTTTATTTTTTTTGGCAAGCAATGGGGTTAAGTGACTTGCCCAGGGTCACACAGCTAGTAAGTGTCAAGTGTCTGAGGCCACATTTGAACTCAGGTCCTCCCAACTCCAGGGCCCGTGCTCTATCCACTGCACCACCTAGCTACCCCTAAGAGCTAACATTTCTATAGTGCTTGGTTTACAGAGCACTTTACAAAGGAACAGCTCATTTGATCCTCTTAAGAGCCCTGTGTGCAGATGTTCCTATACCCCATTTAACATAGGAGAAAACTAAAGCTTAGATAGGTTAAGTGACTTGCTGATCAATAAATAGTTCATAAGCACTGAACCTGGAACCTGAACCCAAGTTTTCTGGCTTCTAGTTATGGACTTAATTTAATTTAACATTTATTATATTTATTAAATGACTACTATACAAAGGGGCAACTAAGAGGCACAGTGAATTGAGTGCCAGGCCTGGAATCAAGAAGACTCATCTTCCTGAGTTCAAATGTGACCTCAGACACTTATTAGCTGTATGACCCTGCGCAAGTCATTTAACCCTATTTGCCTCAGTTTCCTCATCTGTAAAATGAGCTGGAAAACAAAATGGCAAGACACTCTAGTATCTTTACCAAGAAAACCCCAAATGGGGCCACAAGGAGTCGGACATAACTAAAAAACAACTCAATGACAACAACAACAAACTATATGGAAGACACTCTTTCCCACCATATCTTGCTTTTTCTTCAGATTGGTACCAACTGACCTTCAGAGCCTCACATCTGTTGCCTTTCATGACGTTTTCTTTCAATTCAATATTTTTTCAGTTATTATTTGTTTTTTCTTCCTCCTC